AGCTGAGACTAGAACAAGCTGAGACTATTACCAACGGTGGCAAACTTCAGGCTCACTGTACTCATACTATGTGGCACCATCATACAGATGTATCTGCATTAACCTTAAGCTGAGACTAGAGCAAGCTGAGACTATTACCAACGGTGGCCCACATCAAGCTCACTGTACTCATACTATGTGGCACCATCATGCAGGTGTATCTACATTAACCTTAAGTTGAGTCTAGAGCAAGCTGAGACTAGAATCTAACTTGCAAACACGCCCTAAGGTACAACAGGTTTTAGATTACGAGAAGTCTAAAATCTTTGATGTTGATATATCATGTTTGGTGTGTTGAAGGGTATAAGGACTTCCAAAACGAATGAGTCAACTTTATGTACGCCCTAGGGCCGCAAGATACAAAATCACGTCTCCTTTAGTTATAGTATCGTGGTTTTGTAGTATATTGAAGGTAGAAGAACCTCTAGCTATTTTTTACTATTTTCTCACACAAATTGCTTTCTTCGTTCATTCTTTCTTTTCTCTTTCTTTCTTACTTTCAATTTTCCTTTTTTTCCCCCCTTTCTTTGCCCTTCTCTCTATCGCTCTTCTCTTTGCTTGCCTGCCTGCCTGCCTGCCTGTCGTTCTTCCCCTTTTCTCTCACTGGGACTTCAATAAGCGAAAAAACTAAATCAAACTTAATTTTTGCTCACGCAGCAACCATTACATCAAAGCCTTGAATACAGTCAAACCTTGAAATCGTTTGTCGTAGAAAAAAAAAACACTAGAAAATCACAAGAAGCCCGTCCGTCCAACTAATATATCCTGTCTCTGTTTCAAGTCCTTACATTAAAAATATCCACAGTTAAAACACTACTTAAGAAAGATGATTCCGCGCTTCCGGGCGCGCAATGTACTGATTTCCAAAAAAGCCCGTCATCATTTCTCCTGTAGGCCTAATTTATCGTATGAGCAGTGGACGACACGGCAATTTGTAGCCGTACCTTATCTTACCCTAGACTTAACAACGCGTTGAGGTTGGGTGAATTACTGGAAGCCAATGGGAAGCCTTTTCAATTGTAAGGRATGTTATGCCCTGTTCTTCCATGCTGAAATTCAGTACTGTGTGTTTCCCACTCCGTACGATAACCATTCTTATGGGAAGCCATTTCAATGTTACGGCATGCTGTACCGTATGTGCTGAAGTCAGCCAATGACCATTCTTAGTAAAAGCCATTTTGATGTTATACGTTAGGGGATGTCGTAACGTGCAAGTGCTGTAAGACAGTACCGTACGTTTGCCACTCATACGTAAAAAGGCTCTAAGGCAGGGAGGGCCGAGATCGAGAGTTA